GTACATTTTGTTTCATTTTCACCTGCATGGACGTACAGATATTGATGTTTTGGTACACACTTTACTCCTGTATGCCATTCTGGTTTCTATTTTTTCTGTGATCTACATGATGCGTTATAGAAATCATGTGTTAGCTCCTCTATTGTTGGCTTACTCTGGTCTGCTTCAAGGAACATGGTTTTGGCAGATTGGTTTTATTTTATACAATCCATTTCCAAATGCAGTTACGTGGAACAGTGAAGACCATGGAAACATGATGCTTGTTGCATGTTATTTTGCATGGCATTGTGGGACATTGTTACTTGGTGTGATTTTTATTGGATCATTATTTTCAAGATGTGATCAAAGCGTTTATATTGGTCAAAGCGATTATAGTGCATTAGATGTAGAACATAAAGTGTCACTTTTGTCTGCGTTTAATGAAAAAGAGTCATTGAAAAATTTCAACGAGGTAAATGAAGATTTTAAATATGAAGATGATAATTTATAAAGATTGTAAAACTAACATAGCTTTCAAATGTGTTTTCAATTGTTTCTTCACCAAAACTTCACTCCATATTCTTGATTTCCAAAATATATATTTGCTTGCAATATCAATTAAAATAGTTATTTTTATACGCCCACCCGTAAGTATGGTCGTTCTGTCGGTCCGTCCGTTCACATTTACCTCATGCTCACTCTACAGGCTACAATTCTCTATCGCTTCTTTTGATCTTTTGTTTGTGTGTCAATATCATTATGAAGATGTGCACTATTGAATTTGGTGATGATTCGATGATTTTCTTCAGAGATATCGCATAAAACTCTGATTTCGCGTTCGTTTTTCTTTACTTTTTTGCTTTGTGCTCACTCCACAGGCTACGATTCCCCATACATTCTTTTGATCTTTTGTATGTGTGTCAATATCATTATGAAGATGTGCACTATTGAATTTGGTGATGATTCGATGATTTTCTTGAGAGATATCGCATAAAACTCTGATATCGCGTTTGTTTTTTTTCTTCACTTTTTTGGCTTGTGCTCACTCTACAGACTACAATTCTCAATGGAATCTTTTGATCTTTTGTATGTGTGTCAATATCATTATGAAGATGTGCACTATTGAATTTGGTGAGGATCTGATGATTTTCTTCAGAGATATCGCATGAAACTTTATTTTTTTCACTTTTTTGGCTCGTGCTCACTCTAAAGGCTACGATATAGAGTTTGTTTTACAGTTCACGTTTAGTTCTTAATCAAGCTGCTGGTGGGCCTATTTACTTGCGAAACTTGCCGCAAGCCTATGTTTTATTCTACAAATTGACATGGATAGCTAATGTTAGGATGACTACCTACCTTAACAGTCATGATGATTAAATGATATTCTGTTCCTTGCAAACTTTTTATAATAACCTTAGAAATAAAAAAGTAAATAACCTTGTTTAGACATCTAAATGAAAGAATGTATTGACCTTATTAATCCTTGGAACCATCAAAAGAACAGCTCATTTTGCAAATTAGGATGATTTGCTGGCTCAAATTAAACTGAAATTTATTTTTTTCTTCTGACTCATTATTATGTGAAGAACAAGTCAATATTTATTAGAATGTTATTTTAGATTATTTTTGCTATTTGTTTTCTTGTTATCTTGTATTTTGAATGAATATTATTTATATCACCTATAATCTATGCAATAAATTATATACAATGCCAGTATATGTTATTGTGATTATTATTTTGATTATCATTTGGATAAGTACTGTGCACATGAAACTACTTTTTTCTTGAAAAAAATACACACGAATGTATTCCAAAACCATTTTGAATCTTGTATTCAACTTAATAAATCAAGTTTTTAAAATACAACAATACTTCTAATCACATTAAAAGCTTTTTCTAAATGTTTAAACGTGATTGAAAGGCGTAGTTGCAATATTATATTTAATATTTATTAAAATTCGACTTGTTAAGTTGAGGAAAAGATTCAAAACTACATTCTTGTGTGTTATTTCCATTTAAGAACCAAACATAAACCGCGTTTCCACTGATAATTGTTAGGTAAAACTAGCTTAGAGCGTGCTTTATTGCCGAAACGCAATATCACAATAAATAACAAAACACAATTTTATGCTGTTTTACTCCTTGAATGGTACACAGTTTAAATTGCCATCATCGTGTAAAATCTCACAAATACTGATATTGTTCTCAAAGAATTATCTTGAGACGCGGCCGCTACTGCAGCTTTCTTTTCAGCCAGAAACTGCCAGTTGTGCAAGGAAAGCACTACTGAGAGAATATTTGCCACTTTGTAATCATCACACAACCTCAGTTAAGTTAACCCACTATTCATATATAGCCTGTAGAGAAAGGTTAATAGGTCTATGTAAGGATGCATTATGAAAGCTCTTCTTGCTTTTCTCAAACCCTTTGCTTAACTCACTCAAGTTATTAGTGATGAAAATAATTCATTAGAAATTAAAGTATTTTAAAGGACAAACAATCTTCCAGAAATATAACAACTCTGAAGCTGGTTTTTCAAAAATTTAGCTTATTTTGCATAAGCAACATTGATGTTCTAACTTTGTTTTCTGCAGAAAAATATATGAATATTTATGAAAAAAAATGTCAGACAAGTAGATTTGGAAATTAGTCGATCCGCTTTCTACTTCAGTAACAGATGATGAGCCAGGGCCATCATCTAAAAGTGTAACTATAGCTCTATTAAGAGAAATATCTGTTATAGGTCCAAGTCATTATAATATTTAGCTTATTAACACTCTAGAAGACACAATTCTTGACGGATTTTGATGAAACTTGTTGTGAGTGCTTGTAATCACCGTTAAACCCTATTGAAAAAAAGGAAAATCGAAAAATATTTAGTATGAGTTATAGCGCTTGTAAACAGATTCAATTCATGCAAGATTTTCACAAAACTTATTTTCTTTTGCTCATTATTGATCTCAATCTTGAAAATGCATTTATTTTTGAGATCATAAACACTTAAAGGCTCAATTCAGTATGCACGTATCGTTTCAAGTCCGCTCCAACAAATTCCAAGCGACATATTCTTCACATAGAAATGTAAAACTATGCTTGGTTAACTCGCAGTTAAAAGTTCCCACAAATTTTTCATAGCTTTAGAAAGTTCCCGGCATCAAAGTACCAAACTCTTTGATTGCTGTGTATAGCCACCATTTTCTGGTAGTGATAAGGTTTTCTTGGAAAAGGCGTAGAGATATTTTTAGTTCAACCAATGAGAGGCATTGGAATATGGGTCATCGTCGTGGTTGCGCATAATAAGGTCATGACGTCACAGACCGTAAATAAAACAGTCAATAAGTTGCTTGTTTTAATCTTGTTTTGAGCGGAAAGTTTGGCGATTTAACATGAAATTGCTCTTTTGTGTTCAAATAAACATTAATATGCAGTTTTAACTTTATATTTGTATCTTCAAAGAAGCATAAAAGGAAAGAGATAAACACAGCCTAGCCTAGTATCTGAGATAATCGAATGTCCCATGCCATAATTTTATGTGAAAATCGCGAAAAAAGGGATTATAAAATTAATAAAAAAAAAAGACAATAGACCAAAGAGTGGTTTTAGGCTTGGCCTAACTATAATCTAGGCCTACTTCTGTATGAAAATTACAAAACATTTTTTTTTCAAGCATAATTCATTAATTAAAAACACGCAGGTTAAAAATACTAATATAGGCTATATTGATATAAGAAATGTAAGATAAGTTAGGGCCAATATTATCATTAATAAGCTTATGTTTCATATGATTTATGATTTATATATACTCATATGAATTTTAAGATATATATGTCTATATAGCATGAATGTTACCAGTTTTTGCATGAACAACATGCATTGAATGCAGTTTGTAAAAAATGAATGAGCAGAATTTGTTGAAAAAAGAAATTGATATTGCATGTTAGATTTATACATTATTGTCTTTCTTTCCAAAAATACTAAAAGTGTAATCATGTAATGAAGAAACATCTTAGTACCTATAACATATGAAAATGATTTCTTTTTATTATAGAAATAAGTAAAATAAATCTGAACTGAATCAGTACATAGGGTGATCTATTCTCTTCTCAATAGATGATTTAATCCAAGTAAAATGTTGCTTGATAGGAACTTTTTACATAAAATATTTTACCTCCTCCTGGTCAAATTAAAACATTCTAAAAAAATTAATAATAGCACTATTTTTTAGACAATGGTGTTGTATTTCCACCCTATGGGGTGGTTTAAGGAATAGATGATAAATGAAAAGTATTTATTAAGTGAATCAACAAAAATGCAAATAAAGATAAAGTAACCTATTGGTTACATTGGTTCAAAAAACTGAAAAGTTTTATAACAATCAGCAAGTTGGGTTGTTTGACTGGAATGCGCCATATTTATTTACATTTATTGTGGGAGGGCTTCTGTTCATCACGTGATGTTATACAATAGGTTTGATTGGCTGTGACCGATAATTTGACCGAATAATACAAATGTCCTTACGCACTACAGATTTTAAAAACGTAAAATACGAGAAAAAACTTCTTTTTCGACGGGAACTTTTTGATTATGATATCCACAGTATGTACCCTGTTCGTACTAAAAAGTTCTTCTAATACAATTTTGTCGGAGCAGCTTATGATTTATAACGAAAACTTTCACTGTGAGAATAGGGCCTAACAACTACGATTTGTGTCTCAGACTTGAGTCTTTAATGAAGTTTTTGATAATCACATGATGAATAATGAAATATTGTATTATTAATAATATTAATCTAAATGAAATAATTTACATAGACAGGTGTGTTATATTAATATATTATAAAATGATCTCATAATATATATTATTTATTGATTAAGTCTGCAGTTTCTGTAATATTACAGATTTAAAGTTGCAGTATGGGACCCTACATGTCTTTCTATTCAATCTCAACTTCCAAAAAATTTATATGTTTATTAATGCAAAGTCATTCTAAGAAAGTTAGCGAAAACTTTGTTATTTTCAGTTACAACAAGTATTAGAATTTAAACAATATAATCCATCAGAAGATGTCTGTACAGAATTCGGGGTGAAAACTGCAGATGATACTTCAGATCTTTTTAAGTAAGTATTTGTGAAGTCTTTGATACAGAGATGGTACTCTCTTGTCATCATTTCAAACAGATTTGGAAGAGTGTCAAAGTAATCATTGAAAAATCATTAACACCAAGTGTCCAAGTGTCTTGGATGCATATGCATGAGAGAATAATGTAATTTCGATAATATAGCATTTGATTTATGACGTCATCGGCAATCTCCTTGCCAGCAAAAATACTTGTTGGTTTCAATAATCATTCTGGTTCATATTAAAGCAGAGGGATGATTGAATTTGGCTGTAAGTTGAAGGAAGCTGCTTTATGCTCAACAAGAGCTATATTGCATGGGGTCATGCAGGAAAGTGGTATGAAAGATCTTTTCATCATTCAGTACAATATTAACAATATTGCAGTCTAATTAAGATTAGCCACTAGCCAATAAAATTTCTTCCTTATCCAACACTGGGATTTTGAGGAACAAGCAAATGGTGTATTCCAAAAAGCATAAAACTAGTTTATCAAATGAATACTCAAAATCCAAGCATTGGAGAGAGAATAAATTTTTATAATCAAACGGACGAATGGGCAAGAGAGCAGTTGTTAGACACTAACTGAGGTGTCTAAATTAAAAATAAAAGCTAATAAAAAGTTTGGCCTAATATTAATTAGACTGACTATGTTGTAGATTAAATGGGTTTATATCTAAATGTGACCATGGTTTAGGAAGAAGTAGTACAGATAGACAGTTTATTTTTATTAATAACAGACCTTGTGATTCTACTAAGGTAGGTTACAATTAGTGCTGGTATTTCCACATTTTGTCACAATTTGTATCACTATATAAAGGTTGCAATATGATATTTATCACGATATAAGGGTTGTATGATGATTTGTATCACTAAATAAGGGTTGTGATATTATGATATTTATCAGGATATATATTGTTGCAATGCAATATTTATCATGACATATTGGTTGCAATACAATTTGTATCACGATATAAGGGTTGCAATATGATTTGCATCACTATATAAGCTTTGCGATACAATATTTATCACGATATAATGGTTGCAATACAAAATGTATCATGATATACGGGTTGCAATACGATATGTATTACGATATAAGGGGTGCAATATTATATGTATCACTATATAAGCTTTGCGATACAATATTTATCACGATATAATGGTTGCAATACAAAATGTATCATGATATACGGGTTGCAATACGATATGTATTACGATATAAGGGGTGCAATATTATATGTATCACTATATAAGCTTTGCAATACAATATTTATCACGATATAATGGTTGCAATACAAAATGTATCATGATATACGGGTTGCAATACGATGTGTATTACGATATAAGGGATGCAATATTATATGTATCACTATATAAGCTTTGCGATACAATATTTATCACGATATAATGGTTGCAATACAAAATGTATCATGATATACGGGTTGCAATACGATATGTATTACGATATAAGGGGTGCAATATTATATGTATCGCGATATGGGCAAATAAATTAAATCAGTAGTACTTAATTTTTAGTGTTTAAATGTTTTTACAGCTGGCCAATAATATATTGTATTTTGGATAATGACATGTATTAACTAAGAAGGATAATAACATGTATTATCCAAGTAGAACAAGAACATGTATTATCTTATCTTCTCAATTAAGAAATATTTTTACCCTTGCATTTGATTTTGTAATTTTTTTATAGTTAATAAAAGTAGTAAATGAAGTATATCATCAGTATAACAGACATCAGTATCCATTTTTAGTTTTAAATATAAATATGGAGAAGAGTGAGTACTAACTAACAGATTTGTAGTAATAAAATGGAACTTTATATCCAATTGTTCCCCTTATAGAGATAACTGATACAATTTATGCAGGTGACATGTGCTTAGAGCCTGACTATTGTCAATGACATATGTCAAGATTTCATTTTTCCAACTAGGTCTCCCTTTGTTATTAATTACATCAAGTACTAACAATCTAAACCACACAACAAAACCAAAATCCAAAACATTGGGAGCGGAATAAAATAAGATTACAATTTCATTTCTTTCTTCTTTTTTTCCTTCTCTATTGCAAGTTATCATGTTATCTAGTGCAGTACCATTCTAATGATGTAGATAATCATATATTTGACAATATATCATGATAACTACCATATATCATAAAATGGCTATATTTAGATAGTTTTGAATGAGACAATATTACTAATGATATATTCCTATACCAGTATTTATCATGATACAGGTGTTGAAAGTGTTTAGAAATCAGTATACTTCATTTCTTAATGAGTTGAATTAACTGATTGTTTTAAGAGATTAATAACATCAATGATATCAATATCAATAATAAATAGACTTTAATATCCAGTAATATCTTTCTGCTCCATTGACTCTGGTCAATAACTGGAATGATTACAGGATGATCGGCTGATAAATCTAAATATCCATCTACTTGTATCTTTCTGCTTCATTGCTTCGTTCTTTTCAAGGTAATTTTATTATAAGATATTTCAATATCTATATCATCAGAGATATATATACACAATAGATATACCGAAATCCATGGCAGAATGGCATCAGATATTCTAGAAGAGTGATATTTTTAATCTCCTTTTTAGCATCAGTAGATGTGAATGTGACTCCAGATAAAAGACAGATATTTTTAGAAGGAGAGAAACTTCTACTAGCTGTTATTAAGGTAGACTTTCAGTGAAATTTGATTTTTTAAATAGACAAACAGGGTCATGAAGATCAACTGTAAATAAGGACCTAATGGTTAATTAGATGAAAAGCCAATGTTTCAAAAGATTGAAATCAGTTAGGAAGATGTTATGATGGCAAAGCCAGAAATCTGTGTAGAAAGAATAGTCTCTCTACACTTGTACCATCATTTGATTATTGTGTTACTGATTTGTTCTGCTACTGATTTGTTATGCTTACTGATTTGTTATTCTATAGAGTTTTTACTCATCTTGTTATTGTAGACATCCCTAATAAAACTATTTGAACCCACCACTTGTATGATGACTCTAAATCAGAGTACCATGTTGAATAAATCATTTGGTAAGCTTTATTCATTCTTTGTTTAGATTCATCATTGGTCATTAGAGTTCAAAATTTAGTAATAAGAGCTCAAAATTTAGTTATTGGAGCTTATAATTTAGTCATTGGAGCTTAAATTTTAGTCAGTAGAGTTAAAATTTAGTCATTGGAGCTCAAAATTTAGTCATTAGAGCTTTGAATTTTGTCATAGTTCAAAATGAAGTCATCAAGGTTCAAAATTTAGTCACTGGAACTTAAATTTAGTCAATGGAACTTAAATTTAGTCAATGGAGCTTAAAATTTAGTCATTGAAGCTTAAGATATAGTCATTGGAGCTCAAAATTTTGTTATTGGAGCTCAAAATGTAGTCATCAGAGCTTAAAATGTAGTCATTAGAGCTTAAAATTTAGTCATTATAGCTCAAAACTTAGTAATTAGAGCTCAAAATGTGGTCATTGGAGCTTAGAATTCTGAGGAGTAAATAAACAAATCTTAATTTTGATAAGATATGTTTGTGTTTGTGAAAAGTTTCAATTAGGGGCTGTGGTCCAATTACAGCCCCACTATGTGCTATACATACAACAGTGGTAATAAGATTGATAAAAAATTAACAAATGTTACTTTAGTGTATTAAGTTTGCAAATAAGCTAATACAGAAAACATAATAAAATGTCTTATCAAATAATAGATGTTTTCTGATACACGTTCATATCTGTATATGGAAATGAATTCAACTAGTATTGTTGTATATTTCAGACTATAAGAATTCAAGTTCACAAAATACCATTGATTCCAGTTCCTTTATATAACAGATTAAATAAAAATTCATTTTTGACAAACAAACCAGTTATAAATGAACCAATATTATCCAGAAAAATCATTGCAAACAGTCAAACAAGAGGCTTGAGCAGGATCTTGATTTCAGTTCTATTCTGGCAGATGGTACAAGCAATGCAGAACTTTCTCACCCTTCTGAAACACCTGACGCCTCCTGGTGACTGCGCTCCTATATCTACCATACATAAAAATAAACATGTATGTTCCATTTCAGCCAAGCAAAACTAGTGTATTGTCCAGATTAAAGAGATCTTTTTCTAGTGCTTTTAATCCACTAGACAGTCAAAATCCATCTGGTACTAGTCCTAAAGTTGAAAAGAGTCCTAAAAAACGTAAGCATGGATTTCCTTTGATGCAGCAACCTGCAAATTTTTGTCTTTTTCAGCTGGTTATTTGAATATTAAATACTATTATACCGATAGTTAGTCAAGGTTTATCTGTCTTTCATAAAATATGATGTGTTGATGACACTGATTTAAAATGTCATATTTGGCTGAACCTGGTCAACATTTCACATGTCTGCTTAATGTTTATGATTTTGAAAATTTTACTATTTCAGAAAAATGTTTGGATCAGTTTGTGTCAAGAACATCAAGTGATTTAAACATTGATTCCAAACCTTCAGTCAAGGATATTAAACTATTTCTATCTCCTAATAAAAGCTCTGAAGAGTCTGGTGATTGTGTAATTCTTGAAAAAAAAGACAAATTTTCTTCGGAACAAAATATTTCCATAGAAATTTATAATCCAACCACTGTCAAAACACACAATGAGTCAGAAGAAACTTTAAGAAGACTTGAGGTTTCCACCTTGGTGACTACAGACAGTTGTGACATTGACACATCAGAATCTGGCATCTCAGGAAGTTTGACTTCAGAAAGTCAGAGCATTTTGTCTTCACAAACATTCTTAGATGATAGCTTGTTACAAACATGTGAAATGCAGACTGTGATTAAACAGAAAGAGACAGTGTTGAATGTTAATAATCTGGAACAGTTTGTGATTACACAGAAAGAAACAGAGTTGAATGATGATAACCAGGTACAGTCTGTGATTACACAGAAAGAGACAGTGTTGAATGATCATCAGGTTCAGACTGTGCATGTATATAAAAATCATGTCAGTGATATAAATGTATCGGACAGCAATAAAGTTCATCAAAATTTCGAAACAGAATTAGTAAGTTCTCTGAATATTTCCAGATCAACAAAAAGAAGGTTGTGCATTATATTCTCCAAGATAGGTTATGTGGCACAGCACAGTAAAATGCAGTGAGATGTGGCAAATTTGGAAATATGTGGCATAAATTGGAGCTCAATTTGATATGCCTAAAGTAGTTTCAATTGATTTTTTACAGGATAAACCGCAGAAATTCCAGAAAAGAGAAAAAACTATAAAGTTTAATTTTGAAAAATTCAAAAGCAGACATAAAGAAAGAGAAAGTAAGTGAAATATATTAGTCTTATTTATCATTTCTGTACAATATTCTTCTTATGGAATTCTCACTCCATTTCAATGAGTTTGCTCACTTATCTCATGCCCCTTAAGTCTATTAGTAATGTCTCATCTATTTCATTCTGTGTTACAGAGAAAGATGTTAATCAAGAATTTTTTCGAAGTTTCCGGGCTACCATATCACCAACAGATAATAATTCTGCTGAAGAGGAATTACAAAGAGAAATAAAGTGAGTGAAGATTTTAAAATTTAGATATAATAGAGTTGCAGTCCTGGGAATATAGTTACTTAGAGCTGTATTATCAATCATGTACCTGTATATCATTCCTGGAAATGTCCTGTTTAATGCAGATTTCTACATTTCTTGTTATTTTTTTATGTTCAGAACATTATAGATCTTGATCTTGGCTTGAAATAAAATATCATTAGATGATATCTTTAACCACCTAAAAGAACATCATATTTTAAATACTGTATGTAAATTTGACGTGACCTATACTTGATGAAAAACTAGTCAATGTGTCCATCAGTGAACAGCTATTTAGGAAGCTATACCATAGAAATTGGAATCCACAAATTTATGGAGATCAAGCATATCTATTTATATTTATTATCTTGTTTCAGGAAAGAAATGTTTTCACAGATGAAAATCCTAGGACAGGTAAAGATTTATGATTTTCGGTTTAGTGTGTGATTTATGACATTTAAAAATTTCTGTTTAAGGAATTTTAATTTTTCAGTATTAATATATTGATATTTCAGTCATATTTAATAATATTTCAGTTTTATAAGGATTTATAATATTTCAGTTTAATTTGGGATTTATAATATTTCAGTTTAATTTGGGATTTATAATATTTCAGTTTGATTAGGGATTTATGATATTTCAGTTCAATTTGGGATTTATAATATTTCAGTTTAATTTTGAGATTTATGATATTTCAGTTTAATTTGGGATTTATAATATTTCAGTATAATTTGGGATTTATAATATTTCAGTTTAATGTGGGATTTATAATATTTCAGTTTGATTTGGGATTTATGATATTTCAGTTCAATTTGGGATTTATAATATTTCAGTTTTAATTTTGAGATTTATAATATTTCAGTTTAATTTGGGATTTATAATATTGCAGTTTAATTTGGGATTTATAATATTTCAGTTTAATTTGGGATTTATAATATTTCAGTTTAATTTGGGATTTATGATATTTCAGTTTAATTTGAGATTTATAATATATTTCAGTTTAATTTAGGATTAATAATATATCAGTTTAATTTGGGATTTATAATATTTCAGTTTAATTTGGGATTTATGGTATTTCAGTTTAATTTGAGATTTATAATATTTCAGTTTAATTTGGGATTTATAATAACTAAACTACAAGATGATTTGTTTATTGTTGACCAACATGCTACAGATGAAAAATATAATTTTGAAATGTTACAGAAAAATACAGTATTACAAAGTCAGAAATTAATTCAGTAAGTTATGGATTCTTGATTTTAGAATATTATTAATCTCTTTTTTGCCTGACTGGAAATTGATTCCTAAAAGGTTACATGTGTATCTTTGTCATTGACTATGGTCATTACCAGGATGGTCTCGTATGCAGATACATGTATTTTTGATACATGTATCACGACACCATGAGTCATAGCTGCCTATGAGAATGCTTTTGTGTTTTCAATATTTAAACTCTACTACCATTCCCTTCGATGAAGCTGACATATAATTTTCATCATTTATTCAGTTTGTCATGTGATCAATTGTGTTTGCACACCAATAATGCTAGTAAGAACAACATTTAACTCTTAATTGAACAAGACTGACTTACATTTATTGAAATACCTAAACTGATTTCATAATATAGAATATTTAAACTTAGATTTCATTTAGAGAATGGATTAGCTAGCAGCTCCTGATTTTTTAAGTCATCCTTCACAATCAGTTTTATATTAGACATTTTTGATAACTATATTAGTTGATAATTTATTTATTATTACAGTCCACAGTGTCTAGAGTTAACAGCTAATAATGAAACTATATTAGTTGATAATTTATCTATTATTACAGTCCACAGTGTCTAGAGTTAACAGCTAGTAATGGAACTATATTAGTTGATAATTTATCTATTATTACAGTCCACAGTGTCTAGAGTTAACAGCTAATAATGAAACCATATTAGTTGATAATTTATCTATTATTACAGTCCACAGTGTCTAGAGTTAACAGCTAATAATGAAACTATATTAGTTGATAATTTATCTATTACAACAGTCCACAGTGTCTAGAGTTAACAGCTAATAATGAAACTATATTAGTTGATAATTTATCTATTATTACAGTCCACAGTGTCTAGAGTTAACAGCTAGTAATGAAACTATATTAGTTGATAATTTATCTATTATTACAGTCCACAGTGTCTAGAGTTAACAGCTAATAATGGAACTATATTAGTTGATAATTTATCTATTACAACAGTCCACTGTGTCTAGGGTTAACAGCTAATAATGAAACTATATCAGTTGATAATTTATCTATTATTACAGTCCACAGTGTCTAGAGTTAACAGCTAGTAATGAAACTATATTAGTTGATAATTTATCTATTATTACAGTCCACAGTGTCTAGAGTTAACAGCTAGTAATGAAACTATATTAGTTGATAATTTATCTATCTTTAATCAAAATGGTTTTGAATTTGTTATAAATGAAGAAGGTAAGCCATGACATATTTTATCATCAAATTACAACTTAAAATCTCAAAGATCCTTTCTGGTTGAATGTACATGAATTTGACTAAATATCTTAAGCAGTGATCTTTCTTTTATTATCTGAGGCGTTCTGTAGCAGTTGGTTAGAGCGTTTGAAACTTAAGTTGATGTCATTTCATTCTCGGTAGGCATTTGAAAGGCTGCTGACCTTGAATAAGTCAACTGTCCTCATTGTCCAAGATGTGGGGTCTTGAAACTCAGAGAAAGATTAAGAGGTTTAGTCAAGGACCAGATGCTGGACAGGATTCTCCTGGACTTGTTGTTATCTTTGTAAAAAATATGGTTTTTCCTTTCTTTCTCAACTGCAGTGCAGATTCTGTACCCTTTTACAGTAGGATAGACTATTACTTATTCAAGGTAACCTTGACTGGAACATTGACTGAGATTTAAACACACAACTCAAATATAATCAAATATATTCAGCTGGCCATTAATTCTTCAATACAATTTATAAAGATTTTAGTTTACAGTAAATAAGACATTCAGATAAAAGGTGTTTTTTTTATTTCAGCTCCTCCTACTCAAAGAATAAAACTAACGTCAACACCAGTCAGTAAAAATTGGAATTTCGGAAAAGAAGGTTAGTACTCTGTTTCTATTTATCTTTTACGTTTGACAGGACACCCAAAATATCTGACGTCAAAACATACTCCATCAGATATCAAGTATAGATTAGCTAACAAACATTGAACATTGCAGTTCTTGGCCAGATTTTGGAAACTTACAAATATCTATAATGGATTGCATTTGATTTGATTTTTTCTGACATGTATTTTTTGCAACAATTTGTAGATAATCTACACGTGAGGAATAGATCTTTCATCTTAAGTTCTGGGAACCTGAGCGCCACATTGAGTTGGATGCTTGATGTTAGAGATTCAATCCCTGCATAAGTCAAGATGACAACTTTGGATTTTTTATGTTGTTCAGAATGACTGACCTCGAAAAAACTTTAGTTGTTTCAATGTAACAATAAACAGAGGCTCCCCCTGTGCTGCAAAATGCCATCTTCATTAGCCCACATGGTGCAGAAAAGTTGGACGTAAAGCTCCATTCATTTCATTTCATTTTTTGTGCTGCAGACTGTGTTGTTATAGACACCTTGACACTTTGAAATAAACATGATGCTATCCTTTCAAAATACAGATAATATGTTCTCTTAAATAATTATGTTAAATGTATGTTATATTTATTATAGATATTGAAGAGCTATTATTTATGTTAACTGATTCACCTGTAAGTTTCCTTTCATTTCCAGTGAGCTTTCTTTATAGAAATACTGGATAGATTTTTTTAACATGTATTTTTTCTTTAAAAATTCATCATCGTGTACAAAGACCTGATTGGTTGAAACTTGCTTACTGTTCTTTTTATACAAATCCCAAGCTTGATTTTAATTCATTTTATTTTTCCATTTTTAAGGGAACAATGTGTCGGCCATCAAGAGTTAGAATGATGTTTGCTTCCAGATCTTGTCGCAAAGCAGTAATGATTGGTACAGCTTTAAATAAAACTCAGATGAAAAAGGTTATTATTTTAGAATATTGTTATATATTGCATAAAAAAATATTGTATGTAAAAACTTCTTTTATGGTTGACAGAGACTACAATTGAGTTACTCAATTTCCAGTCGTGTAATGACCTTGACCATGTTGAATACTGCATAACTCATGGATAAATAAATCTATATATTTATTTGATCGTAGATAAACAGGACAATTTAATGTTTAAACATCTGCATTATCTCTTTGATTAAATATATTTGGTTTATGCTTTGATAATTTATTACAGTTGGTGTGTCACATGGGAGAGATTGAGATGCCATGGGTACGGATTCATTTTTGCTCATTACTATTGAAACTACATGAAAATAATGTACTGGTACAAGAATATGCCATATCTTCACAAATAACTTTGCAAAGATGTATACTACACTTTCATGTCAACTAAAACTGGTCCTGTGATCAGAGGAATGAAATTGTCTGTAGTAACCTCCCTTTAATGTAAAATAAAATGAAATAATATTTTCCTTATGAAACATATTTTTTGTTATTTTTTCAGAACTGTCCCCATGGAAGACCTACAATGAGACATCTATTTAATCTACAGATGTTACCCAAGTTATGATTATTACAATAGAAATACTCTTTTATGTATAAATTGCCTGATTGTGTTCTAATTTTTAAACATGTTCTTCTGAATCTCTCTATAGATCTAAGAGTTTTACTGTAAAATTATATACATTTTTTTTATCAGTCAATAGTCTTAGTTTTAGTTTTATCAATATGTGACAAGGCCATTCAACGTTTAAAGGAGTCTGAGATACATGTTTGCTCACTTCCTGAGAAGTTTGATTTTGGGGAAGGGAGGGTTTGATTCTTTTATTGAGAAATTTGAATTAACGGTCAGGAAATGCTGGGGATTTTCCTCTGTTCTGATCTGAAATTAAATAAAATGGGCGAGAGGTTAGATTGTTATATACTTATGTTCTTGCTATGAACAAGGTTGTCATTTAAGTTCTGTTTTTTTGAATATACAACAATCATCTTTTTTTTTTAGACATGAGCCTCTCATAATGGGTGTGGACTTTCGTACTTGCTCGATTGCTAGTGGTATTAAACGAGATGATAAAGGGTGCTATGCCTGCATTATGATGTATGGAGTTTGCTCAGAGATCTGAGTTAGATGTATGCTCCCTATCCTAGACATCTGAGTAAGATGTTTGCTCACTAACCAAGAGATCTGAGCAAGATGTTTGCTCACTAACCTAGAGATCTGAGTAGGATGTTTGCCCACTAACCTAGAGATCTGAGTCGGATGTTTGCTCACTATTCTAGAGATCTGAGTAGGATGTTTGCTCACTATTCTAGAGATCTGAGTTAGATGTTTGCTCACTAACCTAGAGATCTGAGTAGGATGTTTGCTCACTATTCTAGAGATCTGAGTATGATGTTTGCTCGCTATTCTAGAGATCTGAGTTAGATGTTTGCTCGCTAACCTAGAGATCTGAGTAGGATGTTTGCTCACTAACCTAGAGATCCGAGTGAAAGACATTCATATTCTGAAAAAAAATTTTAAAGTTTTATTTAATTTTTCTAATGTTATTTTATTTACATATTTTGTAATAATATAAATATGTTAATAAATAATGGGATAGAGAGAAACAATTCAAGGAGAAATAGAACAAAGTGTCAAAGGTTAAAAATGTTAAAGCACTGCATTCAGATGAAAATAATGCAATAAGTTTTATATTTTTTACCAAGTGATGGCATGATATATCAAATACCCAGCACTAGTTTAAACAGTAATAGTTACAGTTTTATTGCAAGTATATTGTGTAGTACAAGGAAAGTTTCACAGTATATTGAGAGAAATAACTTCATAATTGTGCATATTCTCAAACAAGTGCACATTTCTTTGGATTATCACTAAGGCTTTAAAGAACCGGTATGGGGAATGATTTATAAATAAAGGTGAAAATGATTCTGTGCTATTAGATGTTGTAATATGTGCCATGATGCTAGAAATTCAAAGACTAGCACATATCTTAATACTGGTAAAAATATCGTTGACAAAAATATTTCTTGATTTACTAAGTGTTTCAAAGAAATGCCATTTTCCTATAATTCTTAACAAAACAGTTTTAACAAAAGCATTCTATTTTTTCGGAAATATGAAAAAATGTCGTATACATTTATCCTATTTATGAAGAAATGAATGAATAATAATTTTAAGTGAAATGATATTCTTGGCAGGAATATTTACAAATATTTCTCAGCAATTATTTATACATTTCTTTTCATGTACCATGATATTTCTATAATAGTAAATTCAGTAAATGTACAATTCCATGAATTAAATGAATAAATATACAAATGATTATGAAAATGAAAAACAATCTAACAAAAATCTTAGTAGAGTTTTGGGGTTTCTATTTACAATTTATTTGAACATTTGCACTTTATAATGCATAGAGTTTAGAGTCATCGCTAGGACTATAAAGTTTTTATTGTCATCTGTTGCAAGTGCAATTAGCAACTTTCACTTATAGCACTACATTAGTATTAAAACACCATTAGAACCTACTAATCCATTCTCTTGTAATTAAGCTCACTTTTCAGCTTCAGCAAGACATACATATAACGTCAGTTAACATTTTGAGCTTTGAAGTGAGGGTATGTGATTCAGTACTTTCATGATTCCTGACTGCAAACGGTTCTTATCAAGCAAATTCATTCCTATCCCATTTACTACTTCGTTCTGCTTAAATTCATTCCCTTTCTTTCTTCTAAACTTTCTTTCTTCTCACTTGATAAATGGTGCTGAAGTGTCCATGATCAGAAAGCTCTTTCATCTGATATCATTATTGACTATTTTCATGTCACATGTAATTTAAAGCACTATTAGGCAAGAATAACCATTGAGTTATTAAAGTCACTATGGTCTTACTGATTTACCTACAGTATTTATAAGTCTTGAGCACCAAAAATAACATGGATCTGTAGATAGTCATAAACCAGCTTCCGATCTAAAAATAAAATAAATAAGCAACATAAGTTCATTTGAAAATAAAGCATAATTTTTGTCAGAATAATTTCCAAGCCTTCTAATAGTCAAAACAATGTTGATTATTTACATAACAAGCTTAGCCACTTTTAACTCTGATTTGTTTGCATTAAGAGTAAGAGAATACTTGTCAAGAAGATAGACATCTGTGTAAAAGAAAATACATACTTGAGTGTCTTGTGTCGTTCTTTATCAAAACTGTTTTCTGGTGGTTCACATTCAAATGATGCTAAAGACAGTGCTGAAATTAATAATAACAGACAATTATCAATCTCTTTAATATCAACCTCTTAAATATCAATCTCTTTAATATCAATCTCTTTAATATCAATCTCTTTAATATCAATCTCTTCAACATCAATCTCTTTAATCAATTAACCTTTGTTTATTTTCTACATATTTTTTGTAAACTTTGCATGCATTTCTAACTATCTGTATCAATACAACAAGATATGGAATTCTATTTAATTGTATACTTACTGGTTTCTGAGAACACTGGTGATGTTAATACATAATGTAATGTTTTATTTTCTTTCTTAAATGGACACTGAAATAAGCAAAATAAAAATAATCAGTAAATTTTCTCTGTAGTCAGTTCACAAAATGTACTTAGTGTTTTTTATAAATTTGTAATTTTATAAAATCTTCATGTGTCATTTAATTTGAAATAATTGTTGAAAAAAACATTCAATGAAATTGTATACTAACCTCAACTTGTTGCCAAGCGATAAATTCAGAGATCTGTTTGGCTAATTGCCAGAATTTCTCAAAATTGATATGACCGCCATCTATTTTATTGGAACATCCTTCATTGAGGAAATACAAATCTTTAACAAACAAACTGAAGAATGGCACCACAATCTGAAATGATAAATAGAGGCAATGTTAAAATAGTAAAAATTGCTTCAGATGTGAACTGAACCCTATTGAATTAATTGATTAAAGGGGATGGTAAAGGTTTTCTAAATTTGTTACGTGTATCAGAAACACCGGTTAATTACTACTGATACTGGCTGAAAATATGTTTATGAATCATTGGATGTTCTCCATTTGATTAGTAAAAAATTCTTAGTAATTACCTTTTCTCGATCTTCAACAGCCCCTTGTGACCTCCACATAGCAGCTTTTAAACAGGATCGGTAACATCCAAAATTATTCCATGGATTCATTTGATGCTGAAATAGAAGATGAAGAAGAAATGAATATCTTTATTCTGTAAGATCAAGTTGGTTTTATTTGAGTTCAATCCAATGCCAGTACATACTAAAACAATACTATGTCTCTTAATTTCTGGCCCCACATGAACCCTGCAGTAGTGGTACAATATATCTTGATATACCATTAGATGAGTATTTCTTTCGGTTATATGCATTCCACATGCAGAAGATATTGTATATTATTTTTATAAAAAAATCAATTTTATTACCTCTAGAATATCAAATTTATCTTTGTGAACTTTGGCCCAAGTTTTCTTTAATCTTGTGACTGGACTGAGATTCATACCAGCTGAAAATAACAAAAAAATAACAAAATTAAAATCCAGAAATTATTTGGCATTTTCCCTTTTACCACAGACTAACTAGTGTGTGCATTAAAAATCATACATGCCAAGAAAATACCTTCAAAATAAAATATCTATAAGTGTACATCAACCGAATCTGAAAGTGCAAAGCTATCTACGGTTCAGCACCGTGCACCCTACATTTAATAATAACAGACACTTGTACCAAAATTACATTTACAGAAGATAACAGAGCTTTCATTACATTAACAGCTACATTTAACATTACATATAAAATAAATCCCGTGAATTTGATACAATTCAATTTTTTTTTGCCCAATCCATTACATTAACATACATTTGACCAGACCAATTGAATATGCAACATGTCATTTGATTTCAAAACCTACCTTAAATTACAGACACTTAACGATAAGATTTTTTACATTAAAAAACTTTTACAGAACAGAACAGAAAGTGTGTTAATAAGCGAAAAAGAAACTAGAGCAGTGCAAATGAAAAACAGGGTGACTTGAAACAAAAAATGGACTATTCTTCAGTAGAATCTCAAAAATCTGCAACAAAATTTGTAATTACCCATAAACCTTATATTGAGGTATATTTATTATAGCAAGCATACTTAAGCATTTGAGGTTATAAAGCCACAACAGTAGACCAACAATAACAACATTGAATTATGGGAAATTAGCCAATTATCAGACGAAAGTTCAAGGCCACAACATCAAAATTTGTTCCAAACTTCCCATAGCATAAGATTTAAACAACCAATTCACAATCATTCTGATCAACACATCATTCAAGACATGACAGTCAGACATTTTGGATTAGTAGAAAGTATTATTTTCGTTCCGAGACATCTCAATGTTATTTACAACATATGCTGGATAGATATTGACAAATATTCACAAACCCATCATAGTCCATTTTACGTTTAAATATAATGAAGGTGCAAGAGGATATGTGCGAGATGTGACACCATTAACCAGTGCAGGGTGCAGTACAATAAGTGTTTCTGATGAACCCATGACCGACACCAAGATGTTTGTTCAGAGAGTAACCTACCTTAGTTGTCAGCCATTTTGATTCTACTTTCATTTTGTGTGAAAAGAGCTAAGAGCTTATAGAGATAAAGGGTGAAAAGATATGATGGAAAGAAATGTCATGATTAGATGAAATGTTCCCTTGAGTCTCAATCAGAGAGCTTTACTCACCTTTTAAGTTAGTTTAAACATGAGAGGTCAGAGAAGATAACACAAGTTATATAACTAGATAGGCACTGCTCGCAATATGCCAGGCATGTCTGACTTGTATTGTCTTATCTTATAGAATGAGAGTAGAGTTTAAGATTTTAATGTTAACGTGTAGGAAATTAGGTTACAAAATTAGGAAACATGAAAATTAGAATGATTAGGAAATTGAGTGAATTAGAAATGAACAGAGTGAAACTTATCAAAAGAAGTGATTGCCTATAAGAAATTTATTATGAGAAAATAATGAAATTACCTATAATAGCCATTAAAGAGTTGAAATTTCCAATATTTATACATTCTTTAGCCACATCAATAAAATACTCTATCATTTTAACTCGGTTCTTTTTCTTTAAATGCTGAAAACAAATAATGTTTGTTAGATCCAAATTCTCTTTGATTTTGAAGAAGTAAATTTCTTCCACCAAAAGTCAAAATTCTACACAGGCTTTATTTCAAATTGTTGAATTACTGCAGTCACTTCTTAAATCCAACCAGGCAGCATGTTTTAAGGCACAAAGCAGGTTTGATAGATTTGTCTACTTACTGAGGTAATTTCTGTGGCTACGAGGTAACTCAGTCGGTTAAACCACTGAACATAAGATTCCAAATTACTGGTTTTCTTAATATCTCGGAATGTAGTCTGAAAAAATAGAAACATTAATTCATTAAATCAAGTTTTTAGCAAAAGAAATATTGACAAAGTATTCATTATGTTAATCATATGCTCTAAAATAAAATTGTTAATTTTGTAAACATGTTGTTGTTAAGTTGAGTTATTTCCCTTGTATCATACTTACTTCTGAGGTGAGCTCTTCTTTACAGAAGGCTTGAACAAATTCTTCTGGGCCAATCATACTTAGTCGTTCCTGTAAAATAAATGATGTTGATAATATTGATAAAAATAATAATAAACAAATACAACTCACAATGGGCTTAAAGTCAAAAGGATTACAAGTAGAAAGACCATTCTTGGTATCTGCAAAGAACTGACATATTTTGCTGACACAAGAACAGATTCTTGCATTAAACACCAAGGGCAAAGAATGTAGTACATTGATTACCATACATTCCAGTTCAACAAGAGAAAAAACAGGAAATAAATTGGAGAGTTAAAAAAGACCAACATACCAGTTCTATGTGAGTAAGTTGTTGGGCTAAGACTAGAGGTGATGGACAAACTTCAATTATATCAGTCTGTAATAGAAAATAGGAATTAACTTCAAAACATGGCTAAAATATCAAGTTGAATCAACATTTCAAATCAGAAAAAATACTTAAGATGCATCATTTCATTAGTTATCATTGATCATGTCTTATAAAATCAAAACTATAGTTGAATTTCACAGTAACACTTGCTGAGGTTAACAAAACAACGAAATCAAACTTACAGTAGGGACAAGTTGAGCTTGAGCACTTTGCAGAGCTTCTGAATTTAATTTACTCAACATTTCTTCATATTTTGATAATCTGGCCAGCTGAAAGTAATATAACCAAAAATATGGAGAAACTACAAAAAAACACTATAAATACAGAAATATATAGGTCTAAAATGAGTAAATTTAGTAGTTTAAATTTATCATATGCTTGTCTGATAGATATCACATATGGATTTTATAAGTAGGCTACAGGTTTATTCCTTGCATTTGACATAAATTTCCTTCTATTATAAAATTACATATCTAAAGCGTCATATCTTGATGCATATATAACCATGAATAGGCTTAATACTAGATCTTATCAATCTAAATATGCAAATCATCATTAAATATAATTTAAATTCCACATCATTAATGCATATGACTATCAATTTCATGACTATGAATTGCATAATGATACATCACATGAAGTGTACGTGAACAACAACTGTATACATGAACATGAATAGGAGTCTTGCCATTATGAAATTTCCTTCAATGACTCAAGTGAATGAAAACAATAGGAAACCAGTGGAAATGCTTCAAGTGAAATGAGGAAATTGTTGCCTAGATCAGGTTAACAAGGTCACCATTGATATGCCCGCTTGAAAAGTTTCCAAGGTTTTTGTGGCCAGACACACTGTCCCACATCTACAATTATGGATACAATTCCTTTGATTGCCAATGTGCAGTATGCATTATTAACAAAAGCTCAATTATACGCCCATATACCTCAATATTTCAGTCAAAATCTTTAAAAAATGAAAAAAGTAATATCCTACTTTCAATTTAGAATAAAATGGTGGTTACCTTGACAACTAAGTTGTGCATGACTGTGCTCACTTCTTTCCTTAATTCAGGATAGATGTTGAGAATACGTTGTGTTATATCTTTCAGATGTGTTTTCATTCTTTCATCTCGGAAATCATAGGGGAATAATTCTGTCCACTCACTTAATAAATTAACGATATGTGGTCCGAACTTTCCCAGGGAGCCTTTGTCTATTCTGTCTTGTGCCAGATTCTGTTGAAATATACAGACCTAAAAAGTGGAATGAGTCTTGGTTAATTTTTGCTGTTACAAAGGAAACTAAGAAAATTCTTAAATTTTATTTCCCCATGCACCAAACAATTGTGTAATAGTGTGTATATTGACATTGATAAGTTATAATATATAAATCATAAAAAATGTCAAATTTGACAATTGTCAGCAGTTATAGCCATTTTTAGACACCCTACCACTGGACTATTAGGGTCTCTAATTATCAGGTGAGATAACGAAGTAATATAATTAATGATAATTAGTTTGACACCTTCACTAAACTGTCATCACTATTATTATCAATCACTAATTCTATTAGCTTGACACAACTGTTTAAATCACATTTCACTTTTTATTGTCAGTTTTGTTTGGACATAATTCTGATGCAATTTTTTTTAAATTTTGAATCATATCAATGCAAGCCAGTGCTTTTTAGGTCTTTTATACTTATATTTATAAAAATCCTTTCTCTTGCACAAAAAACCTAACAAAAAAGAGCACATTTAACCCAAACTTTAGAGATGTCTATGTAAACTTTTATTTTTTGTTGATTGTTGTTTTTTTTTTTCAACTTTAAATTTTCTTTTTTAATGCCTCAGCACCAAAAAAATATTGATATCTAAGATTAAACCAGGCATTTCAAGTTTACTCAAGAATGGCTCCTCATAGACTATGATATACAATAAGCCATTAGGATAGGAGTCAAGTATTTGTCAAGTCTTTAATCTATCTAGCCTAATCATTAATCCCTACTAATCCACTTTAATAATCTTCTTATCACCTGTCAATCAAGCTCTGAAGGATTTGAAATGGTTAAATCAATATTTCTCCATCAGATTTAAATGGCATTTTAATCGGTAGACACCTTGACTAATGTTTTTCAAAATAATATCAAGTATCAGATCTATTATAGTGTTTAAAAATGACACCCTTGCTTCTTTAACTTTAGAAAGATTAATCTTTTACAATAACTTTAGGTTTTCACCTTGAAAGTATTTTTTTTTTGCTTTCCTTTATGTATAATACATATAAAAATATTATCATATTTGCAAATTTCATTTAAAGAATTTTTTTTCATTGAAAAATTGAAAAATTGAAAAATTGAAATATTGGGCAATGACTCATAGAAGTGAAACTGCCAACAATGCAGTAGTTTATAAGTTTAACGCAGTCAAATTATCAGATAAGGAAATTTAAAACTAACTGGAATTAGCGTTACTGTGAAACACAAGACATTATTCATACATGACAGTTACTCATAATACATGCATATCAAATAGCTATAATTTATAACAAATCATAGGAAGTTATCATGACAACCATCCTCTTAGTATTTTGGGGAAATATATTCTGTGAATATTCTGTTAACAAGGAAAATGGAAGTAGAAGTAATGTAAAGTGGTCGTACCTGACAGACTTCAGCAAGTAAATTATGTGGACGAATAAATAACCGCGAACTCAACAAGAAAGCAAATATATACGTTCTCTGAAAAACATAGCAAATACAATTATAAGTAGTTGACAAACTATTAAGATATAACAAAATATTCAGGAAGAAAATTAGACTAAAAGTTAAATGATTCATATGCACAGTATCCATTTTGTTTATCATATAGATTCAAGAAAACTTTTAAGTTGTCAAAGAAAAAATTCCCTTTAATTTCAATTAACTTTTAATGGATATAATTTCATTTGTAACTCAAAAGAGAAAATTTAATATTTCTGTGCATAAATTATCATAAATCATGCATAAATTATCATTAAAGTAAAAGATGATATAATACTTACATCAGGGTAGTAATCTGAAGTTGGTACAATATGTTGTATTAATGCATCTAAAGAACCAGACGACAAATTTCCATCTTGAAATATTAACGTCTGCAAAGAATTAGCCAAAAATAATTTGACATCTACTTCAATGTCTTTATCAACATCCATAATAGTCCTTTTACACAATCCTTTTTTCACCTTCATTTTGACAAGTTTATAAGATTCTTACAAAATTGTAAAAAAAAAGTGAACTGTTTCTTATTTATGTCCAAAATAACAATAATCTGCCTTGTTAGTAAACACACTTAATATAATACACAAAAAATATCTCAGGTAAAAATATAACAAGTTGACAGTTCAAGTTAGAGACAAGTCACTCCAATAGCTGCTACATCCCAACTAAACCTAAAATGTCAACTGTGCAGTAGTATAGCAGTGTTAGAGTTTTTAACACGCCTCAGCTCTTCACTGATTATATTAAAGGAGATAAGAGCCCCTTTGTTCACTCGTCAACCAGCAATAAGGCTCTAATCAAGTCTAAACACCAATCCTTGTCTAGATCAATAACCAAGCTCTGTGGGACTTCAAACTTCAAAAAACTCTTGAAATTTGGCAGAAGTGAACGGATTCTGCCACTTGTAGAATACTTTTGACTAACAATCAGTCACATCAGTTAATTTGTTAGACAATCAGTCATAATCAATAACATCAGAAAATAATCAAATAATCTTTCAGCTGAACTATAAATCCTCTACACAGCTCTTCATATAAGAAGTTTTGAAAGACCACACAAACTTTCAGCAAAAATTAAAAGATGAATATCTGAACCGAAATGCAGAACACTTTTATCACAACTTGTCCAACACACCTCCGAAATCTAAATGAAGCTAGAAGAAACTGCTCACAGCCAGAAAAAAAGAAAACATTGACTGTAGGTCAACAGAAAGTTTCAATAAGGAAAGAGAGTTTCGATTTAGTCAACATCCTATCTTAGCCAAGACTTTATCAACATTCAGTCCATATTTGAAATAGAGGGAGAGGTCAAACCCAGGGCTCAAATTAACATACATGGACCCGATTCAGGTAGAATTTGTTATTTACAGAGATTTATTGACAGTATTTTACAATCGAACACTGACAACGTTTTAACTGTCTTCTCAACTTGTTGATACAAACTAGATTTTTTTGAGAGATGTCCAAACTAAATTAACACTACTAAATTGGGAACAACTGGTAATTTTATTTGAAGGGACAAAATGACGCAAATTTTCTACCTCCATTTAAGAAAATTTTCATGCAAGTTTAAAATAACGATTTCTCAAATGGGTATTGCTGCCAATTAAAAAATGTCCACCCTTTTGGTACACCTGATGCCACACAACGTCTGGGATTGTCAAATTTGAATTCCTTTTGGGTTGGCAACAATCTTTTGTGTTTTAATTATAGGAATTCAGTAATTATTTTCAAGAAAAAGACTTCAGCCCAAAAATAATCAAATTTCTATTTAAATATATTAAATTTCATATTTGAGATTAATGAGATGTCAAAAATGTCAGATTTATAACAAATGGTGGCATGAATATATTGACATTCCATTTAACTAAATTTAATATGGTGTACCAATTTCATTCAGAAGTTCCAACCACTTGTTGTGGCGCCGCCAACTACAAAGATAACAAGTCAAGGTTGGAATAAGTTCAGAAATAGAACAGCCACATTTTGAAATCTATATAAGAATTTGTCACGTTGCCAAAGAACTATTTTTCTAGTTCATCAAAACAGTTCCTGATAATCTGTTTTCAAAACTAAAGAAACAGACTATATATTTTAAATGTTATTTTGGCTAATGTTTTTGGCTTTGAATTCCATTTGATTGTCAATTTCAAAATTCCAGCAATTTTTCTGATGTGACTTTTTACCACTGAAATGTGAATCATGCACAAAAAAAATGATCAATTTCAAATCTCTATCAATTTATTCAAAGTTAAATTCAAACTTTTTCAAGATTTTAAATTAATTATTGTGTTGAAATTTCAAATTTCAAATATATTTCATAAATTCATTCATGAAGTTAATTGCAAAGTTATGGTGGAGGTCAGACAGAAACTTTCAAAGGAAAAAAACAAAAATTCTAATTAAGTGCCACAATCTGGACAATCAGTTAATCCTAATCCCAACATATGGATTAATAACATCAAACACTATCCTAATTAAAACCTATTGTTTTAACCATTATCCATATGTTAACCATAATATTTTAACAGATTTTCCTGCTATACCCCACCCCTAAATCTGCTTAGTGGGGATATACAGAACTGACATTATTAGGTTCTCAGACAATATCTATCTGGTTGATATACAAGTCACAGCAAATGATATCAATAAATAAAACTTCAAAAACAATACAATTAAAACTTTGATGAATTTTTTGAGATGTTCAATGGTCAATTAAAAATATTTAATAATAAAACAGTGATGTAGACTGTCCTAAACAGATGACGAGCTGACAATCACCATTGCAGAGTATCATCAGGTTTCCTCTTATCTAAGAACCAGAACATCTGTTTAATCATATGAAGCATTCACATAAAAGAATGGTTAATTTACAGTTTTATGAGAACAATACCTTCCATAGTGAAAAAGACAAAATTTGGCAAAAAAATACTAATAATAGAATACTTACATCAATGTCTTCAAGGTGTTCTAAATGACGATCATAGCCACTACCAGCTAGATCAAACATTTGAGCCAAACTTAACATTTGTGGTCCAACACTCTTCTGAAAGATATAAAATATCCTTCAAATTAAAGATGGCACTTTGAACTGACTGTGAAATATATCGAACTTTCTAATGTCGTCACTATTAGTATCATAAATAAACTGTAGAAAAACCAAAAGAGAAAGATTATTCATTTACCATATATGCCGCTAATGGTTTCATATTTGCAAATTTTCCCTCCAATTTGAATTTGAATATATATGAATTGTGTTTAAATAGAGAAATGACGGAAGCGTGGAGGTCATATAATCAAGTGCTCATTAACCCTAGTCTATTAGAAGCCATATCGCCTACGATTTAAACTGTCAGTTTACAGGAAGTTATGACCTAATATCATTAAAATGGTAGAGTTGTTGTATAATGATTGAGTAATATCAATTGAGATACAATTATATTCTGATAAACTCTACAGAGACTTAATTTCAACCATCTAGAATTTCTTAACTGGATTCCTATGAGATGAAGAATTATGTCATTATTTTCAAACTAAAAACTCAATATGTGATTTTTAAATTACTATGACATTGATGGTCATTGATATTTGGTTCAGTTTAGCCACTTGACTACTAAGACAAATGGATATCCAGGCTATAAATAATGATACTTAATAATATTAACTTTACTGGTCATGCTTTTTCTAATAGGTAGGCTTTTTGTTTTATATTTGCCCTTCAAAATACCTGATAGCACTTTGCAACTAGGATAGTTAACTTGGCATATACTTTCATGAGTAGATAGCTGATATTTTTTTTTTTCAAACAGCTAGTGTAAAATTAATTGCTTATTCAGGAATAAAATATGCATTTCCACAAGGTTCCACACATTTTTTACCCTAAATTCTACATCCTCTAAAAACCACTTGAAAAATGTTCAAAACAGGAAACAATGCGGATATATTTCAGACTATTTTGTTAATTATATTGGTCTTAAATAAGTAATTACTTTTTTAATTCATTAAGTTTTACCACTTAAGAAACATGAAAAATAGGTGACAATTAGAAGTTATTAACCATATTGAGAATAAGTGGTTCATTAATATAACAGTTGAGTTTCCATTTTCATTAATAAATTTACCACTTGCATTTTTTTTTAAAGTTTTAAGCATGCACTTAATGTGTCTGTGGTCTGAAAATAATAGAGGGGGTGGATTTCTAAATGAATTTCCTTTTTCTTGAAACAAAATTTAATACAAAAATCAAATTTTGATTTTAAACTATTTAAGTTTCTTCAACACTCAAGTCTGCAGCACACAGGGCTTTGATTTTTTTTATTTTCATTCTGACAAACTGGGCAAAAACGATGGCTGATCAATGTTCTAGTGTTAGTTATAAGATGTTGTCTTTTTACTTCTCAAAATATTGTTGACAAAAGATAAAGTTAGTTTCACTGTGCTTGAAAAATGATCTTCACCAGTGTAGTGTCTGCAATCAACTGTAGCAGTAATTGTTGTAAGGAGTTTTTTCTTGCTACAGACATTACAAATATAAATAACCTAAGTTATTAGTAGAGTTATAAATAGGTTATATCCACCAACGCCTATTTATAAACAATTTAGAATTTTGGCAAGAATACAATATGATTAATTGACACTAATATTTATGTTAATATAAAAATTGTTCTCCACCTACAAAATATATACAATACACATGTTATAATACATGCTGTTTATGAATCATAATTTATTGTGAGCATTTTAAAATCTTTTTTTAGTGACAAAGGGCCCTTTCTGTAAAGTAGATTTATTTTTATATAAATTTTGCTTTTAATTTTAACTGCATGAAAATATGCCTTTTATAAGAACAAAATTACAAATTGCCATAAAATAAAAGACAAGGTCAATGTGGCAATGGGGTATTTCATGATAGTAACACACCCTATAATTGTTCATTGGCAGCTAGAGTTTGGTCTGCTTTAGGATATAGTTGTACACATAAGCATTTCTACATACTAAATATAACATCCCTGTACAAAATCAGCTAGCCATCAACTGAGTGAATTCCAATTTTTTTTTTTATCAAAATATGCCCTTCATCAATTTTGAAGCAACAGAACCAGCAACTGTACATGAGATACAGGCTGGTAAAAGATGGGTCAAAAATACCAGAGAGTTCCAATAAGTCATTCATAAACAATACCATGTTTAACAATACAAAAACAAATTTACTTAGATCAGATTTGAGGCATTTGTAGATACTAAGTCAACTATGAAATACAGTTAATGGTATTAGAAAAGTGTAAACTTAATCCATAAAACTACAGAATATACTCTAAAAACACAGTCCAATGTTGATATTCTTACCGCTTTTGGCATTCTTCCTAATAAAAGCTAACAAAACTCTATTTGTTACCCCATTTACTGTAACCAAGAAAATTTCTCTCCTATTGACT